TATTTTTGTATCTCGGTTCTTTTTATACTCAAATTAAGATTGTTGAACAACAATGACTGATGTTAAGGAAACTTCGTGTAGCTTTTGCCTTAAAAATATAACCGATAAAAGTTTTGAAGTGGTAGACAACATTATCAGAGACATTCTAGATGTTCTTTTGCTGAAATTGGTAAGTCGGTGAAATATAATTAGATTATGCCTTAACAAGTCTCAAGTGTCAAACAACTTTTAGGATTTAACTGTTATTTTCCGCTACACTTATTTTCTTTCTGTTTAAAGTTGCAAATTTTTCAGAAATTTGATAGCGAGAGCAAAGAGGTTATATGTAACGTTTGCAGAAGAAAGTTAAATTCGGCGTCAGAATTCAAGTCAATGTGTCTGAATACGGATAAGACAATTATTCCTTATGTGGATAGCAAAAAAATGTTACAGCTCGACTTAAGAGAAGTGTACATGCAGGAGAAAAAAAGTGAATTAGTTTGCAGTCAGAAAATATGTCGATTGTGTATACACCCAGTAGAAAGCGAGTTTAGATGCATACGTGAAGAAGAACTTGAAGCTATCGAGAAATTGGCTCCTGAAATGGTATCGGTGATATTAAACACTTGCATATTTTGTATTTAACGTATTTAATTTATTTAAGAATTCCATATTAATCAGATGGAAATGTCAATTAAATCTGAAAGTATCGACATAAAATCGGAAGATGAGGAAAGGAGGTAATAAAAGACCGATTTAACATTAATTTAAAAAATTATATGATTTAATACATACCATCTGGTGATAAACTAATTGTAACAAATTGTGTCAGTTGTAAACGGTATCCTACAAATTTTTAAACGACCATCAAGTGTTAGGTTAACAAATTATTTGGAAAAAATGTAAGTTCATTATGAAACAATGCATTAAATCATGTATTGGTACAAAGAACTCTATAAAAAATTTTTGGGGGCTGTAATCTCCGGTATCTCGGCAGATACAGAAAATTCATATAAAGACTGTTACAAATTCGCTTCTCACTACAGGGATCTCGGAAACGGTAAAATTGCAGAGGCTTAGCCTCCCGTGCCTCCTTTAACGAGCCGCCACTGCTGAGCAGTACAGTATTGGGGGTCATGAAGGCTTGCAAAAAATGTAATAAAATTTCCAGGGACGTATTTAAAAAAATGAAGTTGATGACGTTCTGGAAAGACGAAACGTTACATATAAAAATTGATTATGCCATTCGATAGAGGGCAAAAAGTTGCTATGAGAAAGTGTTCTTTTTTGAATCACCTCGAACAAGGCTGATATGAAACAAAATTGGATTTCCAAAATTTCGTTTCTTTTTTCATATATGTATTTCAACTAATAATGTTAGTCTTGATTTTTTAGAGGCTTAACGTTGGTCCCCTGATTAAGCAACTTTGCCCCCATTTGAGCTAGTTCGTATCTCTTGCCGTTTCTGAGGTCCTTGTAGTGAGAAGTGAATTTGTAACAGCCTGTATATCTTCCGAATGTAACTTCGATTACTCCTCTTATATGGGACCTTGGGCAAAATTCGAAGTTTCTCGTAATGGAATACAATTTTGTAGACAGAAAAAAATACTATTTATAATATCACTCCAAAAAAAAAGGTGATTTAGAAAAAAATTTAGAGGCAGATATTAGTGATAATGATAAATAATAAATAATAATTTTACATCAGGCTAAAGCATTGCAATACCAACTGCATAAAGATAAAGCACCATATTGTACATACATACAACAAGCAATATTAGAGAATAAATATTAAAAATAATTGGGATCAGACTATACACGCATTTGAAACATAATAAAATAATATTCAGTAAAGAAAGAAAAATATTGAGAACTGACAAGAGAAAACTGCGGAAAAAATAATAATTATAATAATACTTACCTCACTTATTTAAACCCACCTTTTTTAATGGACATTATATAATTTCAATTTTTTTTTTCAGGTTTTTCTCTTGTAATTTCTTTCTTCTGGTTTTAAGGGTTCTCACATAATTATTTTAATAATTTATAATTACAAGTAATATTAATTTTAAGAATTAATCATCATTTGAAACAAACATGAGTTAATAGTTATCAAAAGTTTGATTTATATAAAATAAGAATATATAAATGCGGAATAGGGGATGATTTCAAAACAAAAAAAAATATTTAAAATGTTTCAGTATTTCAAAAAACAAAGGCATATTAATAACACTTATTAACTGAATTGTTAACTAAGCCTACACAAAACAATAAAAGTAGAAATATATTTCAAAAATCACTCATTGAATTAAAATAATTCATTGTAACGAACTTAATTAATTTAGTCAGGCACTAATCTCCGATAAACTATTATCTTTCGCTATGTTTCAATATATGAGCCTAATTTTGAATTTAATGTGGATCTAAATACTAATATCTGGTGAAAAGTGTGTCTACTTCATCGATTGACTAAAAAAAAAACGAGTACGATGCGACCGTACTGTTGATCGGCATTCCTCAATATGAAGTAATTCCTTTCACTCTTGGTATCGTCCTTTCCTTTTCAAAACTCTGCTTAGATTTTCTGTACGATCACTAGTTCCCAAGCAATTATCAAAGCCAAAAAAATAATATTCGCTTCGAATGAGGTTAACTCAGTGACAAATCTTCATATGTATAAATGTAGCTCAAATAGCTCAAATCAAANTATCCTTTCATTTTTGTGACTGGTTTATTAAAATTTTTGATATGGTAAAAAATAAAAACTAAAAAATGTAAACAAATCAATATTTTTTGTGAAACGTAATATTTTCACGTGTCACCTGTAACCCTTTAAAATAAAAACCTGATTTTCAAAAATACCCTGTAGATGCAATTTTTTCAGCGACACGTCCCTTCAGAGGTCCAGTTTCGTACCATTCGAGGAGAGTGACTGTAAAGCTGAAGAAGAAGATGGATGTAAACATGAGAATGGATCAAATGTGAAAATGTACAAGTGTAGTGACTGCGATTACGAAAACAAATACAAGTATTCTGTCAAAAAGCACCAACTGAAACATAAAGATCCTTCACTGGTCGAAATGTACAGGTGTAACGACTGCGATTACGAGACTAAATACAAATATGCTGTCAAAAAACACCAACTGACACATAAAGATCCTTCACTGGTTCAAATGTACAGGTGTAGCGACTGTGATTACGAAAGTAAATACAAGGATTATATCAAACAGCACCAACTGAAGCATAAAGATCCTTCACAAGTTCAGATGTACAAGTGTAACTACTGTCACTACGAAACTAGATACAGCAGGCGTATGAAACAACACCAACTGAATCATAAAGATCCTTCACAGGTTCAAATGTACAGGTGTAACGGCTGCGATTACGAAACTAAATACAGGTATGTTGTCAAAAAGCACCAACTGAAACATAAAGATCCTTCACTGATTCAAATGTACAGGTGTACCGACTGCGATTACAAAACTAAATACAAGTACGCTGTCAAAAAACACCAACTGAAACATAAAGATTCTTCTCTGGTTCAAATGTACAGGTGCAGCGACTGTGATTACGAAAGTAAATACAAGAGTACTGTCAAACAGCACCAGGTGAATCATAAAGATCCCTCACGGTTTAACATGTAGAGATGTAACAACTGCAACTACGAAACTATATACAAGAATGCTTTCGAACAGCATCAACTGCAACATAAGATTCAAATGTACAGGTGTAAAGACGCAAGTCTTTGACGAGACCTCAATTGATGCACAGAAAAAGATTTGCAGGTGTGAATTATTACCCTTTGTTCGTTGTGCAAAATATTCTCAGAAATGGGGGTATCTAAGAGCGATAAGTGTGGATATGAGACCAATGGTAAATATGTGAAAAAGAAAACGTAATGCTTGCCTTGAAGTTCATCGGCTGAAACACGAAAACCCGACTGAAACGGAGACCAACAAGTGATTTTGGACTAACACTTGTGGAATTCACTAATACCTGGTTATGTCCTCACTTTCCGTTTTTCACAATGTGATATAGACTAGGCGGTATCTGTTTTGGTTTGGGTGAATCGTATATCCACGGAGGTTTTTGGGCTTTTTGGTTTTCAAATATCACTAGAAAGGAAAATTTTTCTATGCGCATAAAAAAAAACGTGGGCTTAACTTTTGGCGGCACAATATGTTTAAAAAATTAGAAAAATGTCATATTTTTCTTCCTATTTAATTATGTGTTTTCAAGAGTTGATTTTAGGCGAAAATGGAAGAGGAAAAAAATTTTTGTAATTAAATTTTTTACAAAATATGACCAGTTACAAATTGAATGAATCATGATTATTATTGTAAAAATCAAAAAATCGCCAAAAATTGGGTTAAAAAACATTACTTTTTTAGGGAATTTTTTGGGGTCTTTAAGTTGGGTATAGGACCTTCATACTTGGTTCAAGAAAAGTTCATGTTGTGTGGAATCTTCACAACAAATTTCATCAAAATGGTTTGATAGATTTTTTTTTAAAGAAGCGTTTTTCCAATAACTTTTAAAACCTGCTTTAAAAAATTTGATTTAATTGAATATTCACAAAGTTATTCTAATTCTTTATAAGTACAAAAATTCGACCAATGTTTTAACAAGTGCCAGAACTCTCCTAATTGACGGATACGAATTTTTCAAAAAGTGTTTGAAAGCTTGAAAGCCCTTCTATATGTGATTCAATTTTCAAGTATCTAAGGGCCTTGGTTTTTGCTGTGCAAAATTTTGAAAATTGCAATTTTTTTTTCAAAATCTGGATTGCAAAATTATTATCCAAAACCTTTCGAACCGATTTTGATGAAATTTGGTGTGATGATTCTACATAACATGAAGTTTTCTTGAGCCAAGTCTGATGGTTCTATACCCAATTTAAATACCCCAAAAAAAATCCCTAAAAAGTAATGTCTTTTAACCCCATTTTTGGCGATTTTTTCGATTTTTACAATAATAATCATGCTTCATTCGATTTGTAACTAGTCGTATTTTGTAAAAAATTTAATTACAAACATTTTGTTCCTCTTCCATTTTCGTCTAAAATCAACTCTTGAAAAGATACATAATTAAATAGGAAGAAAAATATGACATTTTTCAAACTTTTTTAACATATTGTGCCGCCAAAAGGTAAGCCCACGTTTTTTTTTATGCGCATAGAAAAATTTTCATTTCTAGTGATATTTGAAAGCCAAAAAGCCAAAAAATCTACGTGGATATACGATTCACCCAAATATGGATTTTTTGAAACAGATACCGTCTGTACTACTCGTAATAGTCTGTTAAGAGTGTACATTAATTTTAAACGGCGATATTGTTAACTGTGTAGAACATGTAATTAATTGAAGGGTCTAATGTAAAATAAATATGCATTATTTTTATACTAGAAAGCTGCTGATTTCACTGTTACATTTTTGGGTTGGAAGATCATCTATACAGGGCATCCTGCTTTAAATCTCTGACTTTAGGAGCGGATAGAACCAAGAATGATGGTACTTTGTCACACATTTAATTCGAAATCTCAATCATTTTGGAAATAGTAGAGATGTTTGAATTAAATTTGGTGTACGTCAGTACGTTACATTGGGTCAAGTTTCTAGAAATACCATAATATCAAAACTGTTGTCTGACCAGTGGCGGAAATAGTGGGGATATTGTCAACTATAAGTACTTTAGAGAGAGGAAGAGTAATATTCAAAATTTAAATAATCCCCCTGTAACT